GGGGGGGGCACTTTATTTGTTTATTTATTTATTTTTAATGCTTAATAATTTTATTGGGAGCTTTTGCAGATACCATAGCATTCCATAGTTGAATCACATCAAGCAGTATTGTACAATTGCTACCACAATCAGTTTCAAAACTTTTTTTTTCTTTTTGAACTCCTTGATATCAACTCCCTTTATAGCCTTTCCCTCCCCCACCCCCCCACCCCCAGGAACTGTTATTATTATTATATCTTTTTATTGTATCACAGTTTGTTTGTTGTTTGCCATATCTTATACGATCCAATACATACATTCACATTCGATTCTGTGGTTTGAGCTCTTTGAGTGGAGTTAGGCAGTCCTCAAAGCTATCAGCTCCCTACCCCCACCAACTTCCCTTCTTGTACCCCCGGGAACGATTACTCCTATTGCTGTTTTTGAAGGGTTATCTACCTTGACTTCATGTATTGAACTGTCTTAAGTATACAAATGAATGTATGCAAATCTATTATTAATGAGGTGAAACAAATAAAAACCATAATAGTAAGGGGAGGAAATAGAAAAGAATTAAAGGATGGTTATGTGGTTCATCAGTGCTACACCACACCTTGGATTTTTCATCCTTTCTAGGAGGACCTTCTGAGAGGACTGTCTAATTATCTTACAAGGGGGTATTGGTCTTCCCTACATCCACACCCTTTCACATCAATTTGGTTGCTTGTTTTTGAACTTCTGATACATTTTTCTGTGGATACCTCATGATCACACAGGCTGGTGTGCTTCTTCGATGTAGGCTTTTTTGCTTCCCTGCTAGATGGCCCCTTGTTTAACTACAAACCTTTAAGACCCCAGACACTATATCTTTTAACATCCAGGCACCATCAGCTTTCTTCACCAAGTTTGCAACGCACCCATTTTGTCTGGTGTGATTGTGTCGGGAAGGTGAGTACAAACCATTCTTAAACTGAGGTGAGATTTAAGTAGAGACCCAAAGTCCATCTGCTTCCTTTGTTGCATTTGTATGTGTGTGTATAAACAAATTCACATGTATATGTTTTTCATTCCTCTTTTCTTTTTCCTTTCTTTCTACCCCACTATTATTCTTTCACCCATCATTCAACTCTCAGTAATTCCCCTCAAATACAATTAAATTGATTAAACTGGACCAGAAAAGCTACATCCTCTTCGCCATCAATTTTAGAGCACTTCCTGTTCACTGTACCATAATTTTTAACTCCCTGCTCACTCACCCTGCCTGTCCATGGCCCCCAAGAACCATTGGGCCAGTCGCTGTCTCCCTAAGATTGCTTATCCTATTTTGTATAGATAAACAATAAATAGAGAAAATAAGTAAATAAACACATTAATTAATTAACATACATATAGCCACAGGATGAACAGGGATCCTGACATAGAGCAGTTAAATATCTCTCTGTTACATAGAGAGAAGGACATGTTTTAAACCCTCTGTCCAGTTCCCCTTTCTTCCAGAGCTGCATAGCCTGGCCCCCGCTTACCTAAGAACATATATGCCCATTTTGTCTTCAGCGTTCATGTCTGATAGGCAACTATCCTAAATGTCCCTATGCTTTTCCTGCAGGCAGGGATGGAGTGGTCTAGTGTCCCCCCTCCCCATCCCGGTTACCCCTTTAGACATGGACTGTGTGCCCCCTTGTGGGTAATCTCCAACCAGTTCAGATGGGGTACCAAGTGCTCCTGGCCGAAGCAGAGTCTATCATTGGGATACTTGGCAGACTTCATGACTATACTCCCATCGCTGGATTGCTGCGCTCCCCTCTTGATTAATGTGTTTTGTTTTGTTTTGAGAACAAACACAGAAATCATTTTAAAGAATGCAACTTTTGTTTTTATTGTTAAATGCCATTGATTCAGTTCTAATTATAGTCCTCATAAACACATCCTCCCTCCAAACAAATCTTGCGCTGGCTGTGCTTTCGAAAGGAGACACTAGTGGTGATGGTCCTTGTGCGAAGAACTGGTGACGAGGGAGATATTAGGTGCGGTAGAGCTTTGGTGATGCTGTCAATTAAACAATGGACAGCTAACCCCAAGGTCTGCCTTCTAATCCACCAGCTACCTGGAGGGATAAAGATGAAGTTATCTGCCGCTCTAAAGATTTACAACCTCCTAAATCCTATAAAAGTTCACTTTTGGCTGGAGTCTCCTTGGTGAAAGTGGGTTTGTTTTGAGTTTTAGGTCTAATAAATAGAAACCTGTTGCTCCTTCACCATCCTCACAATAATTGCAATGTTTGAGCTCATTGTAGTGCCATTATATCGATGCATTTCTTTGAGAGCCTCTTCTTTCACTGAAACTCTACTTTGAAAGCATGTTGACATCATAAACATATATTAGATCCAAATACACTTTGTGCTGTCCGTGCTTTGGGGAGGGGAGACTAATAGTCCTGTTCATTTTGAGAGAGATGATAAAGAGGTGGGCGCAAAGCCCAGTGGAGGACGCATAAGGAGCTCAGTGAATTAGGCCAGGGGAGCAGCTGAGAAGGGGGAGATATAGAAGCTGGACTGAACTGGTTTGTCTTATAGTGTGAGAAATGTGGGCTAGAATGAGGTGGCGACAACAGTGAATTTATTTAGGGAAGAGAAAAAAAAACCCAGAAACTTAGAGCTGTGGAAATTCTAAAGCAGAAAAAAAAAAAGAAAGAGAGAGAGAAAGA